TATCGACACTGTTTCCATGTGTTAGGCAGAGCTGGAATCCATCTGTGCAGAGGGATTTGAGATACCAGAATTGCTGATCAGTCTCTTTAAAACACTTTCTCATCTACTTTTAGGTGAAATCAACTGTGAGACAGTTCCTGAGGTGGTGTGATTCTGTGAACTGATGACACCAGGACATAAGATCCTCAGGGAAATGTCGTGCAGAGGAAGGAAAGGAGCATGTCTGTCCCCAACCTTTCTCCTCAAGCACCCACCATGTCAGACAAGGTGCCGTCGCTGGGTTGTATCCAAAGCTCTGTAGGATAAGATGCAGGCCGGCTTGAGGATATGGCAGGGATGTCAGCTTCCTCAGCCTCATGGGATAAGGAATGAGACTTGGACTCTGTAAGGCAGAAAATTGAAGCTACAGACTGTTTGGCACCAGGGACCTAAAAAGATCAAAGATCCCAGACACCAAGAATTGGAGGATATTAAGGGACTGTGCTAATAAAACACTTCGACACAGAACAAGGACCTTTGCAAGTAAGGGGTGTTCCATTGGCTCTGTGGCTTCCACAACCTCCCAGTGATGCCCTCTATGCTCTAAATGTCTACAAACCTCAGAACAGAGGCAAGCTCTGTGGCTGACACAGGACAGACTTCCCTGGAAATAAAGTTTTTAAGCAGGCAGGAGTGTTCACTTCCACAGTGTGAAAACATTTGACTTCCTAGAAATTAACTAATAAGCTCACATGAGCCCAGCCCCAAGCCCAATTGCCCACGAGGCTCAGAGGTCCATTTTTAACTGGCTACATGGAACAAAATTGCCCTCTAGGTGCTGGTTAGCTAATGTAGTATGGAACTCACTGCTGCCTAACACTTACCAAAAGCTCTGCTGAGGGATACGGTCAAGGATCTCCCAAAGGGTGTGCCTTCTCTACGTTCCACCAGACAGGCAGAAATTCACCCCCAGATTGGGCTCAGTCGACAGGAGCCTGTACCCGACTGAGTCCCACCAGTTCCCTGGGGAATTATTTTGACTGCCTTGCATATTTACTGGACTGTCGTGGTGGGCCACCGTACTGAGGGTCACTATAAGACACTGCTCACAGTGCTTGCCCCTGAGTCTACAGAGGTGTCACTGAGCACATCAATCACTGTATCACAGACTGTACTCTTCTGAGGACCCTAGGGAGGAGTGCCTGTCTGCTCCCAGCAGCAAGAATAGAACAAATCTATTAATATCTTATAATCACTGTGAACTATGTTACAGGCAGAGTTTAAAATTTTTCTTTCAGTGCCACTTCTTATAAAATTCTTTTTGGAACGTATGCACTTTTAGTCTTATCCTTTCTATTCTTAGGTCTTACCTTGTTTCTCTCTATTCTTTTATTCCTCGTTTTAACCTATCAACATTTTACTCTGTAACTTGCAAGTTACCTTAAATCCCTTTGGCAACAGAACTGGGGTTCTTAAGTAGCTGTATTCTGTTGGACTGATGGTGGTATTCTAATCAGATCCATTTCTTCACAAAGTGTTGTTTTTGCAAAATTCTTCTATTTAAGTGAACATGATTCTGTACAGGACTAAGTGTAATAACATTTTTTTTGAGTTGGAGTCTCACTCTGTCGCCCAGACTGGAGTGCAGTGGCTGCTACCGGCCACCGCAGCCTCGACCTGCTGGGCTCCGGCGATCCTTCCGCCTCAGCCTTCCGAGTAGCCGGAATTACAGGCATGCGCTACCATGCCTGGCTGATTTATTGTAGAGATGAGGTCTCACTGCCCAGGCAGGTCTCGAACCCACGGGCTCAGGCAATCCACTCACCTCAGCCTCCCAAAAGCGCAGGATTACAGGCTGAGCCACCGACCCTGGCTTGTAATAACATATTAAACTGTCATCTGTCACCCTTTATTTTCTATCATTTGAATGAAGAAATGAATATCTGGTTGGGACGTATGTTTACTGTTGATGTAAAGCTGGATGAGGGAACGAAAAAAGAAACAAAAGTCTTTAAAACAAAACAGAGAAAGAGCTTTCAAGGTTTCTCAAGTTGAAATAATAGGATGATGCCAAGAATTGGGAAGTGAAATGAGTCGTATTGCCATGCCTGCATTTATGTTCAAATAATCATTCATAAAAAGAAATGAGAGAGCCTTACTTAGAGTTCAGATGAAGAAAAAGATTCAAGGAATTTGGCTAATTATTAGTTAATTATTTGAATCAAAGTGTCTCATCACTAATTATTTATAAAGTTAGGGAAGTCTGAGCATGAATCATAAAAGACTCATACCTAGTTCGTTGTAGGGTAGAAATCTCAGAGTATATTCAGCTCTGGTTCAACCACACCTGGAAAAGGGCCCTTGTTCAAGATAACATAATAGAGGAACATAAATTATCTGGAAGGTGGGACAATGGCAATACATATGTTAATGCAATACATATGTTAATGTAACATGTATGTTAATTTCAGTTACATATCATATGTACATACTTACATGTCATGCTGAGGGTTCTTAAAAGCATCATGTTGCATTAGAATGAGAATGAGAGAAAATATGGCTACCTGGGTTGGAATATTTATTACCACTTGCTAGCAACTTGGATTAAGTCTCTTCTATCTTATTCTGGGTTTCTAGTGTGAGTTTATTTAACAGATTACTTTTCTCCCCAGAAAGGAACAGCAAGACACAGAAGATATGGAGATTCATATGGAATCATAGGAAGGTAAAGGAGAAAGAAAAAATTTTGAAAGACTGCACAGAGCCTAAAAGTAAAGGAACACCTAAAAAGTATGCTGGAAAGGTAGTGGGAAATATAATTTGTATGGAATTAAGTTCAGGATATATGTGGTGGGGGACCCAAAAATACCTGGAATTTATTTCTGAAAATTAGTGTATCTATTCCTACATGTTTAAACTTCAGTCACCTTCAAAGTACTTTTTGTTTGATGCAATATACCTATCAAGATGCTTTTTCCACTATTCAAAACAGCATTTGAATTTGTCCATTTTGATGCTTTTTCGTGCTTTAGTTGTTTTTTCTTTCACCTCTTCCACATTGGCAAAACATTTCCCTTGGAGGCCTCTTTTCATCCAGAAAAACAAACAAAAAAAAATTGCTTGGGGTGAGATTGGGTGAATAGGGAGGGTGAAGCATGAGGATCATGCAGTTTTGGGCCAAAAACTACTGAACACTCAGCGTGGTATGGACAGGTGTGTTGTCATGGTGGAAGAACCAGTCACCTGTTTGCCACAACTCGAGATGTTCCTTCCACAAATCATGACGCAACCTTCTCAAAACTTCCAGATAAAAACTTTGGTTGCCCATTTGATCCAGAGGAATAAACCTGAGTGTACTACAAGGGACCTACTTTCCAGAAGACAATTTCTTTTTATTCCACCCCTCGTATATATCAAGCGAGTTCATTGCATTTTAGAAAATAGATTACAGGAGTCGAGTATATCATAAATAGTCCAAATTTTAATCAACTTGAGCAATAACTAGGCTATCAAATTTATAATAGAGTCAAAAGAAAGATTATCACAGTAACCTGCAGAATTAACCATGGTAGGCCTAGTGAAAAGGAAAGGAGACAAGTTCAGATCCACACACTCTCACTGACTAGCGATGTGACCTCAGGCAAGATTAATGCCATTTAACTTTCTTCACTTTTCTTCACTTTCTTCAAATGTAAAATAAGAAGTCCAGTTGTTACCTGCCTAGCTCACAAGACTGACACATGACTTAGCATGAAATTCTTTTTGTAAAATATTTTGCAAACTGTAATATGATACACAACTTTCATTTTCATCATGACTGTTTTGATACAATATGGAATTATATCGTGTTCCAAGGGATTGTGAGTGGGGGGGGGGGCACAGGTTGAGTTCTCATGCTCCAGGGGAAGCCCTCCTCTTCAAGAGGCAAATGTTAATAATTGTAAGCGTGACAAAGAAAGAAAACTATAAGTGCTGAGATTATTCCACTTTTACCCCTTGACAGTCAATGTACGAATTACTCTCAAAGAAAATGCTATATGTTACACGGGGAAAAGGGATTTAGGGTTTCAGAGGGAATTAAGGCTGCTAATCAACTGATCTGAAAATAAGGAGATTAACTGGGTGGGCCCAATGAAACCTCAAGGATTCTACTCCAAAAGAGGCAGAGAATAGGCTGAAGGAGATACAAAGTAAGAAGGACTTGACCTTGTTATTAGCTTTGAAAATGAAGAAAGGAAGCCATGGGTCACGGAAACACAGGAAGCCACAGGAAGTTGGAAACCACTCTCAGACTACATCTAGGAAGAAAACAGAGTCCTCAGCTTCACAACTGAAAGGTATTGAATTCCACCTACAACCTGAATGAGCAAGAAAATGAATTGTCCCCTAGAGCAGGGGTCCCCAACCCACGGGCTGTGGACCCAACCTTTTCTGGCATCAAAGACCAGTTTCCTGGAAGACAATTTTTCTTCTGGGAGGTAGGGGGAAGGGTCATCAGTCATCAGATTCCCATAAGAAGCATGCAGCCTAGATTCCTTACATGCACAGCTCACAATAGAGTTCGTATTCTTTTTTTTTTTTTAACATACAAAATGGTTTATTTGAATTCAGGAACTGCCCCTGTTACTCAGAACTCTGTTTTAAAGAAACAGTACAAAAAGAAAAATTCAAACCCCCAAAAAACTCAAAATGTTTTCCACTAAATACTGATACAAACAGGTAACAAAGAGTATAAAAAGTTATTCTTTAAATATATACAAACGCTTTTAAACTCAAATACTGTTTTAATACTTACCGAGGGTATCCAGGACCAGGTGAAGAAGGGACGTGGAAAGAGGATATATTGCAACAGCCTAGACAGTCCTGGTAACTCTATTATACTGCAAACTCTCTGTAACAAAAAGGTGTCTCTTATTCCAATGTGGACAGAGATTTTCCTGATGGACTATCTGTGGCTATTTCTCAGCTGAACTCAATTCTTTTGGATTTCATGAAGGCCATGCCGGGTGTCCGCCTGTGAGTATTTAAGGCAGCTTCAGTTTCCAAAGTTTCTGCGCACACTTTGCGCTTTCTGTCTGACACGGCACCATCTCCTGTGAAGAAATCCGTGGAACCCAAGAAGGTGGCCTGTCCTGGGTGGACGTGTTGGGAATGTGACCGCCTGTTCGCGCAGAGAGATGTGCACATATCCCACGCGAGGAAGGAGCACGGGAAGCAAATGAAGAAGCATCCCTGCCACCAGAGTGACAAGTCTCTCAGCTGGTGCCACAGCCTGTGCCGGTGCAACCGGATCGAGCACAAAGGCATCCAGGACCCCAACGCGAAGGAGATGACAGATGCCACCCACGAGGAGGAGGTGGAGCTCAGGGAAGACACCAAGGCTCCCAGCCCCAAGAGGAAGCTGGAAGAACCGGTCCTGGAGTCCAGGCCCCCTCGAGGGACGATCACGCAGCCGCTGAAGAAGCTGGAGATCGACGTTTTCAAGGTCCACAAGGGCACCGTGCATGGCTTCACCTCCGAGGACCTGTTGCAGTTCCACGAACACATCCCTCAGCCCCGGTCGGACGGCTCCTCCTCCCAGTGCCGGGAGTGCGGCCTCGGCTACACGTCCCACGTCTCCCTGTCCAGGTCCCTCTGCATCGTGCACAAGCTGAAGGAGCCGCAGCCCGTGTCCAGGCGGAACGGGGCCGGGGAAGACGGCCAGCAGGAGGACAAGCCCAGCCACGAGGACGAGGGTTCGCATTCTTATGAGAATCGATGTGATGGAAGGTGGAGCTCTGCTCACCTGCTGGTTTTCAGCCCAGTTCCTAACAGGCCACAGACTGGCATTGGTTCACAGCCTGGGGGGTGGGCACCCCTTCCCTAGGACATCTAGAAGGGAATGCAGTCTGCCAACAGCACTTTGATTTAAGCCTCTTGCCAACTATGACCGATTTCTGACCTACAGAGCTACAAGGTGATACATTTGTGTTGATTTAAGTCACTATGTTCGTGGTTCTTTTGTTAGGGCAGCAGTGGAAAATTAATACCACTCTTTTTGGTAGAATGAAGAGAACTCTGTAATGTACGTCCTTCATGCTTACCTTAAGTAAAGACTATTCAAAAATGACATTGTCGCCGTGACTCCATTTTCCGAGTGATAGGAATGAGTTCTTATCCATCATCCAGGTACTTCTAAGGCAAAAAACGCAATCACTTAGGTGTGCTCAATGGGATGGCTGAAACCTGGGATGTACGTATTCCAGAATGGTACAGAGACAAAGAAGAGAGGGATCCTAGGAGAAGCATTGGAATGAAATGTCTCAAGAAGACGCTTTATTTGCCTCCAAAAAAAGATGCAATGTTGAATATGGGGAAGAGTAGAGGTAAAGAGTATTATAGCAGGGTCAATGGTTTGGGCAATAGGGAAACCAAGTTGGGGGTGGTATAAGGCTAGCCAATTTTCTCTAGCCATGAGATATTTGTAGACTATTAAATGTAAGACAGAAAAAAAATATTGAGGAACATGGAGACACAATCGTGAAGTTTCTAGTTAAAAATACCTTTGGAAGGCAATTGAAATTGTGAGCATTTATAGTAGAAGAGTGGTGGTGTTGGTAGAAATAACAAAACAACTGCTAAGGGAAAATCATGACACATAGTGTTGAATGAGTGTTTGCTGTTTGACTGTCACCAGTATAAATGCTGTATTTGCTGATGTAATCCTTTAAACAACTACTGAATGCTTAATTTTTATTATTATCTTCTTTTCACTTTGGGCAAAACTGAGGCAAAAATAAAAGAGCTGCCCCAAACTTAAAGCTAAATAAATGGTAGAACAAGAGTTTGAACTCAGATCCTCTATTTCAAGAATGCATACTCTTACCCACTACATAATACTGCTTTGAATATCAACTCTGCTAGATACTAGCTTGGGCACACATATTGGAGAATGTTTCATTTATCTTTTTTTTCAAAAGAGAAAACTGAAACTAAGGGAGATTCAGCTGTTTGTTCCACTGAAAAAGCAGAAATTCCAAGTCTGTTTCCAGCCCCGACAAAGTACATGATATTGGACTTGCCCTCTTGCTGAAAATAACTAAAATATTGGGCAAAATATGGAAGGCAACCGTTTCAGGCATAAAGTATCAGGCAGTGCAGGCTGTGATCACCAAGAAAAGGAAAACACTTGATGCATAAACAGGTAAAGTATGTTACCAAGTACATGGAGGCTATAAACAGAGACTAATGGTAATGCAAGAAATAAAAGCCTGGAGGGCAGAGAGGAGATGAAGAATTCCTTCAACAGACACATCAGTAGACTTGATATATCTGAGGGAAGAATCAGTTACTTTGAAAGAAATGATCACAAATCAAACAAACTGAAAAAAAAAAAACCAGAGTGATAAGAGACAGAAGATGTCATCTGAAAGCAAGGACAAGACCAGTCTCATATTTATGGACTTGGAGTTTCAGGAAGAGGAGAAAGGGTGAATGAGACAGAAGAGATATTAAGAAATAATGGAAAAGTGTTTTCCAAAAATAATGAAATACATCAAACCAGGGATTCAACAAACTGATGACTCCCCCAAAAAATGAATATTTAAAAAGTTAAGCCCTACCTAGACACTGATAAGTCAAACTGCTAAAATCAAAGACAAAGAGCCAGAGGAAAAAATATGACAAAAATAGAAATAAAAATGACAATCATAGCAGATCTCTTATAAGAAGCTAAGGGATGTGTCTGATGGAGAGACATCTTTAAAGTACTGAAAAATACTGCCAACCTGGTTTTTATACCCAGTGAAAATGTCTTTCAAACATGAAAAGGAAATATTCCTTAGACAAACAAAAGCAAAGAGAATTTATCATCACATAGCTGTCCCACAAGAAAATTCTTCAAGTTGAGTAATTTAATAAAAACTTAGAAGAGAATCACAAAATGGTAAAAAATAAGGTAAATTTAAGATGCTCTCTCTCAGAAATTTAATCACTTTAAAAGACAATCAGCTTCTTAATGCAAAAATAGAAACAGTGTGTTTTAATTTTCAAACACATGTAAAGGTAAAATGTATTATAAAAAGAGTACAAAGAATGAAAGAAAGGAGCAAAAAGTTTTATGAAACATAGACTGATATATTACTCAAAGATAAATGGATCTATAAATACATATGTATATCTTGTATCATTTATCTAATCATATAACTTACCATGTAACTTATTTACATATAAAATAAAAAGTAAAACTGACAATATTGGAAATAAAATGGCAACATAAATATTTAATTCAAAAAAAAGGAGAGGAACAAAAAGTAGATGTGACACAAAGAAAAAAATAGCAATATGATAGATTTAAAATCCAACCATGCAAAAATTGCACGAAGTATCGGGGGGCACATAGCGTCAATAAGGGTAATCCAGGTGAAGTGAGGTCCAATGGGTAATCCAGGTGAAGTGAGGTCCAATGGGAAGCCCAAAATGTCACCTGAACCTGAACCACTTATGTAACCAATCTTGACTTGAACCCCACAACTTTAAACAATAGAAATTTGAAAATAAAAAAAGGTTTAAAAATTGCACTACATATAAGTAATCTAACACCCCAGTTTAAAGGCCAAGATGGTGATTTTTATAAAAAAGCAAAACACAAATATATATTATCTGTAGAATGCTAATTTTATTTTATTTGGTTTTGTTTTTAGTTTTTAACATGTTTATTTTAAAGATGTGTGGTTAGATATACAAATGTTCATTATGCAGGTACCCTGGTTGATAAAGTGTCCTCCCCTCCCCCAGCAGATTCCCAACACTGCCAATTCCATCTCCCTGCCCCCATCCTGGCAGTTTCCCACTACTGCCAATCCTTTCTAATAGTATAACGGTAATTGTTCAAGGTCCGTTTCTGAGTGAGAACAAGTGATACTCAAGTATTTACTTCTGCGATAAAACTCAGTATTGTAGACTCTAAATCCATCCAGGTTGCTATGAAGTTCATAATTTTGTCCTTCTTTATGACTGTATAATGTAATATTCCATCGTGCATATGTACCACATTTTTTTTAATCCAGTCCTCTTTCAATGGGCAGCATGGTTGGTTCCATGTTTTTGCTATTGTGAATAATGCTGCAGTAAACATACGTGTGCAAGTATCTTTATCATAGAGTGATTTGAGCTCTTCCAGGTGTATTCCCAGTAGGGGAATTGTGGGGTCATATGGAAGGCTGATTTTTTAAGATCTTTTAGGAATCACCAAACTGTTTTCCACAGATGTTGTATTAGTTTGCACTCCCACCAACAGTGGAGAAGTGTTCGCTTTTCATGGCATCCTCTCCAGCATCTGTTGTTTTTTGAGTTATTGATGATGGTCATCCTGACTGGAGTTAGGAGGTATCTCAGTGTGGTTTTAATTTGCATTTCTTTGATGAACAGTTAGACTGAACATTTTTTCAGGTATCTGTTGGCTGCTTGCATGTCGTTTTCTGAGAAGTATCTATTCATATCTTTTGCCCACTTGCTAATGGGACTGTTTGTTTTTTTCTTTCCACACTGTTTAAGTTCCTTATAGATCCTGGATGTTAGGCCTTTGTCAGACATACAGTTGGCAAATACTTTTTCCCAGTCTGTGGGCTGTCTCCCCACTCTCTTGATGGTTTCTTTGCCTTTGCAGAAGCTTGTCAGTTTGATGAGGTCCCACTTGTCTATCTTATCTCTTATGGAATGGGCACTGGGGTTTTGATCAGGAATTGGTTGCCAGTTCCAATTTCCAGAAGGGTGTCTCCTGCATTTTCTAAGGTTCTTATAGTTTGAGGTTTTAGATTTAGATCTTTGATCCATTTAGAGTTGATTTTTGTGTATGGTGATAGGTAGGGGTATTGTTTTAATCTTCTGCCTGTGGTCAGTTTTCCCAAAACCATTTACTGAATAGGTTCTCCTCTCCCAAGTGGTCGGCAGTGGAGGCTATGTCGAAGATGAGTTGGTTGAGGAATTGAGACTTTGCTTTTGGAATCTCTGTCCTGTTCCATTTGTCTACCTGCCTGTTCTTGTACCAATACCAAGCTATTTTGATTATTATATGTTTTTAATAAAGTTTAAAGTCTGGGAGTGTGATACTTCCCACTTTGCTTTTTTTTTTTTTTGCTGAGGATTGTTTTGACTATTTGTGGTCATTTATGTTTCCATATGAATTCCTGTATTGTCGTTTCCATGTCTGAGAAGAATACTGCTGGTAAATTAATGGGTATTGCATTAAATCTGTAGATTGCCTTGGGTAGGATGAGCATCTTAACAATGATGATTCTTCCAATTCATGAGCATGGAATGTTTTTCCATTTGTTTGTATCACCTTCCTTTCTTTGAGCAGTGTTTTGTAGGCTTCTTTGTAAAGGTCTCTCATGTCTCTGGTGAGGAAGATGCCAAGGTATTTGATGTTTTTGTGTGGCTATTGTGAATGGGATTGTGCTTCTTATTTGGGTTTCTGTTTGTTTATTATTGGTGTATAGAAATGTGATTGCCTTTTACTAATTTATTTTATACTCCAAGACTTTGCCAAAGTCCTTTGTCAGTGCAAGGAGGTTTTTGATCAATTCTCTTGGATTTTCGAGGCATAGTATCATGTCCTCCGCAAAGAGGGCTAGCTTGACTTCCTCTTTTCCTATTTGGATACCCCTGATCTCCTTCTCTTGACTGACTGCTCTAGCTAGAACTTCCAAAACTATGTTGAACAGGAGGGGTGAGAGTGGGCATCCTTGTCTTGTTC